ACCAGTTATGACTCATTTTAGCTTGACCTAATGGGACAGTCTGAGAGAAAAAGGGGAGAGAGTATTGGCAACAAAGCCAAAGATAAATTTACTTCTGGGCTTTTTGTGGATACTTGAGTAGAACATCTTGTCTTGTGGAGACAGAAATTAATTAAAGATACAGATTAGTGTTTGGTTGGGGGGTTGGGTTTTTTTAAAATATTACACATTGTTGTGATACCCGTGTATTCTGGCTAGCGTATGACATCTGAAGCTTGTATAATAGAGAAGTCAAAGGTTAGTTTCAGCATTTGTGCAAGGTTCCTATCTTCAGTGAACTTTTGTCTTCTTAATATGAAGTGTTTCAAATTTATTTCTGGTGCATTCTACTGATAGAGTGGGATGAACCAGGCCATATTATGTTTTGAATGGTACCTTTCATGCTTCTGCTTTGTACTTTGTTTAACATTGATTCTGAATTCCTTTCTACATGAGAAGATTCTTGCTTGAGGGAAACAAGTAGTAGAAAACAAAGAGGCAAAGGATGGAGAAAGAAACTGCTGGTTTAAGCCCTGCCGGGACCGGAGAGCATATTGCTGTTGCCCCTCCCCCACCCTCAGCCGGTCTGGCTGGAAGTGAGGCACAAACCCCGGGGTAAATTAAGAAGAAATTTAATACAATAATGTGATAAACAATCTGAACAACAACAGTAGTGATGATAACAACAATAAACAGCAATAACAGTGATCAAGACAAAGGATATACAAAGAAATACCGCAAAAGGGTCAGGGAGCAAGCCCGCCGCATGAGTCGCAACCCCCAAAACCAAAAGCGAAAGTAAAAAGGCTCCGCCCCTGGACTTGACATCAGCATGGTATGAATAACCCGGCTGGAGATCCCTTCCCCCTCTCTCTCTGCTGGGGAGACTTGACCCTATCCTAGTTGAACCAGGACAGAAACAATTTTCTCATTTTTTTCTATGATGCTCTTTGCTTTCAATATGAAGTTTTTTTATTGACTCGATTACATTATTTTCTCCTCTCCTGCTTCCTTACAGAATTTAAAAGATGAGAGATAGGTAAGAATAACTTAGAGGTAATGATCTGGAAGAAAAGGTATCCAGCAAGGTGAGGTATCTGCTTTGATTTCTGTATATGCTGAGTAGTTCCCCAGTGGCAAAGGATCCTGTATGGAACCTTAGAAGGAACCTATCTTGGAAGATGGTTGTCTAAAGCATTGAGATGTCCCCACTAATTGCAGACACTCACATTTATACTCTGATTTCTAGGCCTTTTTCTCTCATTTTCACTGCAGGAAGATCTTACCAGGATTTAATTCTGGTCACATGGAAAGGAAGCCTGTGTTTTTCATAGTTATGGATCCATGGCATTCTTCTCTTCCTGCTTTTTCCTGTTCTGTCTTGCAACCTCCCTTTTTGGTCTTTTCTATCATTTCCCATATTTAGTGTTTTGTCTAGGGCACTTGGTTTCCTGATAAAATTAGACAAATGTAATCCTTGTGTGGTAACTTCTGAATAGTAGTTTCTGAAGCCTTAATTAATTTCAAATAAACTTGATACTGGGCCAGATGTCTCAAAGATAATCAAGCTTCTATAACCTTCCTGGTAAGGCAGCAGTTAGGGGAATGAGGCCTAAATTAGCACTTTCTTGATTTGTTGGACCTCAGCCTTCATCTGCTCCAGCTGTGTAAGCATCACTATAGAGGGCTCTCCTGCCCATACAGTGTGAGCCATGAACATCCGTTTTAATGGCCTGGGTTCACATCCTTCATTCTGACATTTTCTTGTACTAGAGGGAAACTAGTGGAGATTTGCCCTGGTCACAAAAATCTCATATAAACCTTGTGCCCATCCTTTCCTAGTAACTGGCGGCATGTCTTTATGCACCTACCTTACTGACTCCATCTTGTAGACATTTCAGGATGATAATCTCTCAAGAGATAAAGCACTGCTTCAGTAGTTTGGCTCCCAAATAACCCTGTGATAACTACGATTGTTGCTTAAATAGAAGAGTTTAGGAAACATGTCCCATTTCTTGCTTTTTTTATAAGCTGTTTTTGTTCCCATTGGTTTTGTCCTCTTGTGTGCTGTGCTGCACTGCATACTTCTCTGCTGTTCAGCTGCTCACTGCTTCTAATTCCAGTGTGCATGCTTTCCTGATTCAAGTACCCTCATTCACTGTTCTCATTATCCAGATACGTAGATATTATGATTATACTACTTCTTACTTGTTGCCTGTGATGGTTCCTTTTGGTGTTTTGCTGGAGACTGTGCAGTAGTCTGTCTCCTTCTTCAAGAATAGTGGCTCATAGTGATAGAAGCAAAGTTAGTACCTGAGGCTGGACAGCAGACTGTCAAGGGTTGGGGAGGTGAGACAGGAGTCCCACAGCAAATACCTGGGGTGCACCGTTAGGAATTGCTCATGTTCCCTGTCCTCAATGCCTCTGAACACTTGCTAGGTCTGTGATGTGTGGCACTCATACTGAGTTCTGTACTGCACAGAAGCAACAGAAAGTGAAACTACTTTTCATGTAGTCAAGCAAGATGCTTACAAACACACTGACTAAAAGTAAGATTGTAAAAAGCCAAGGAATTACTGGTTTTCATTTTCATATTTTAGACCAGTTTTAAGCAGCATATGTAGGTAATGTGTATGTATTTTTAATATATATACATATGTATATATGTATCAAAATTGCTAATTTTAACCTGAGATCTCCCCTGATGTATTTTGAGGCTAAGATACAGTAGGTATTCCAGGCAGTTTGAGTTACTCCCCCCGTCCTTCTTGTGTAGTTGGTCCTGTGCCCTCTTGACACGTGGAATGGGGAATTTCTGAGATGTGCTCAGCACTCTACCAAATCGGGTAGAAGTACAGCAGACAGCAACGCAGGTACTGACTCCTGGGTCTCCTTTCGCACCCACGCCTCTCCTCCGTGGGCAGCAGCCGCCCCGCTGCCTGCCGGGCGCTGGGAGTGCGCGGCCGGGGCCGGGGCGCCGCTTTGCCCCG